GATTCTAACTTATATGAGCAACTGGAGGATGGTGACCCCATATGAAAATATTTTATTGGTGAGGATTTGGTAGAATCTTCCTTTCATGGGGAGAAACCACAAAGTTGAAACCCAGAGCAAGCTGGCATCGGCTGGCATCAGACTGAATTCATTTCTTTTTTAGAGAAGGCATCTACAAGACTTAACTATTAGTTTTTGGTCTTGATATTAGTATTAGTTTAGTATTTAGTATTTCTGGAAGATCAGCATCAATATAAGCTGCTCCATATCTGGAGGTAGTTTGTTGTTCATAATTAGTAATACTGATCTCATTTTAAATAAAATATTTTAAATGTAATTATATGCCTAATAGGTATAAGTATAACTCACTATTATATATTCACTAGTGTTTCTCTAGATTTTATCTCATCTAAATTTGCTAATTTATTACCTTAAAATCATTTTTACCTTTTAAACATATGTTCATGTCTGTATCTGTAGTATCAGCAGTAATGATCTTTTTCTATTTTTATTATTGGTCATTTACACTGATTACTGTTTTGTTTTATGAATGCAACCAGGGATTTTTTTATTATAATATATCCAATATTTATATTTTTGAAAAAAAGTTAACTGAAATGATTCTTTTTCGTAACTGTACACCCAATGTCTTATGTGGTTACTGATGCACAATGCACCTTGGCAAATTGTTCTTAGTTACAGATCTGTCTTTTTCCCTACTGGTGCTCCCCAAGTGCTGAAAGCCACGTACGCATTCTCCAAGTTCTTCGGCTATTCAACTACAAAGATTTCATTTACATTCAGCAGGGTATTACCTTTAATTGCACATTTGCTATAACTACAAAACTTGTTTAACATTTATCTTAAGAAATTTTATTTGTTCACTGGGACCACTAAATATATTTGTTAAAAGAAACTGATTTTTCTCTGAAGCTTTAAATGCACTGTCTTGAGTTAATTAACCATAACTCTGTCTAAACCACAAGCCAAATACTAATGAACTCACTACTTCATAGACATTGAATGCATTTTTTCATTAGCCAGAAAACATAGGTTCCAGGGAAGATTTTTCTCTTTGAAGTCATCTTGAAATAAACACCACCTCTATCAGACTGCAGTTTAAACACAGTGAGAAGATTCTTTCTTCCCCATGAAGGTTGGTTACTTTTGAACCTTGACCAAGTGTTCAAAGAAGAGATAGAAAGTGTCAGCTCAGAAAGGTCAGAGACATTCTGAAGCAGAGCTTGGCAAACTACTGGCTGCAGGCCAGACCTGCTCTTTCTGCTCTTGTCAGCTGTCTGGATATCCTGCCAAGTTATGCTGGGAACAACCTATGAAAATGGCATCTCTCAGCTTGGGACTTAGAGTGGTGAAGGAGTAGACATTGCTCTACCAAGAGCCAGAAGCAAATTCTCTTACGTCGGCTACCCACACTTCAGCAACATGATGATACAGTGGGGTAGGTGCAGGGGCAGAGCTGCAGCAAAGCTCCAGATTTAGGGTAGAATAATAAATGTGTCAGACATCAGTGTGGTGACAGCTGGACGAGCCTGTCTGGAGCTTGGGTGAGACTTTCTGGCTGGAAAAAAGCAGATGTGAAGTTGTCATTATTCTAAAGGTCTCTAAGCCATTCTTGAATAAAATGATCCAGAAAGTAGCTGAATGCTCCTTTTGTCTCTAAGCCCTAAGCTGACGTCAAGCCCCATTCTGTTGTCTCAGTCTTTACTTCTGTCACTCTATTAAAATTGTACATTTCCTTTTGGAAATATAGAAGGATTTCTCCTTTTCACTATTGGACACTGAAGCAACGAGGTAAACAGTAGCCTTTAACTCTGCTTCCCAATGAGGCAAAATACTAAGGGCAACTGCTGCCCTTCAAGCCACAGAAGATGCAACTGCTGGCAGCTAGCTGTGCAGAAGGACCAGCAAGGGGGCAGGTGAAGGACTCATCCAGTGTTTGGGAATGCTCTCCTCCCTGGGGAAATTCTGCCATTGGAATGAATGATGCTGTCGGTGAAGCAGCTTTCTGATAACTACACTTGGAACATTTTTATCTTAGCAAGTGAGTTTAGCAGATGGTAAAGATGTCCAGAATCACTGCCACATACCTTTCTTAAATTCATCTGCGTCACACTGTTGCTGCTGCCATAGCGCTTAGGATGGAAGGCTTTGTGGTCAGCCTTGCAAATGAGCCCTAAACTATATATGTTGCAAATACACCTAACCTAACATTGACATTCAGTGATTGTTAAATTCCTCTGAAAACAGTAAGAGTCTAATAAGTGGAACCTGTAGAGACTCTGGGACTCTATCTCCATTAGGCTTTCTAGGAGGCACCACTGCAGCGATGCTGTGTTCTGAATGTGTTCCCTAAAATATGTCCCTTGGAATCCGAAGTTCCAAAGTGGCAGCTTTAGGAAGTGGACACTTTGGGATGTGATCAGGCCACGAAAACTCTGATTGTGATTAGTGTCCCCATGAAAGAGACTCCAGAGAGCTAACTAGTCCCTTCCACTATGTGAGGACAAGACCGTAAAAGGCCATCTATGAAGATGTGGATCCTCATCAAATGCCGAGCCTGTTGAGGTTAGAGGCCATCTATTCCAATTTTCTGTAGGACTTTGAACAAGAATGAGTGCTGGACTTTTCAAGGAGATTATGGGGCCACAGAGGAAAGTGATCGATGATGTAGAGTGTGCCTAAGGAGAGTCACCTGGAGAGAAAACGTATTCTCGGGCTTTCATGGAGAGCACATTGGTCAAGCAATGGCCGTGACTCATCCACATGGCTGACACTGACAAAGGATCTACAAACTGCGGTACAGGGTTTCAGGATAAATCCTCAGGGGTTTGACGGACCTTATCAGATACAAAAGTTACATTTCTTGTTATATAGATCTTGCTTTATCTTGGTCTTAACCATTCAGCAGACATGTATAAAAATGAGGTATAAAAAGTAAAGCCACTTAATATGCTGAGCTGTAAAAGGCTCAAGTCAACAACTTCTGATATTGCCAGTCCTGAGGATAACCTACTACTATTATGGACTACTGGAGTATATTGGAATATTTTGCTGAATTCACGCACCTACGATATTTAAGTGACAATGGAATTATCATCTCTGAAACAAGAAAGGGAGATATAAATGAAAGACCATTTTGTAGTGAAAAATTATATATATAGATAGATAGATAGATAGATATAGATATATAATTATATATGTACATATAAAATAGCATAGATATACAGCTACTTTCTCTTAGTTCAATGAGAAGTTTTGAACTAATAGTGTTTAGACAAGATATCATGTCTGCATCTTGTACTATGAATAACTACTACAAAGACAATGATATACAATGTATTAATTATTGTAACTGTCCTACTAACCTGTTTTGAAGCTGTCTCATTGCTACTTCTTTCTCAGTAAAATTAATATAAAAATAAATAAATAGATAAATATAAATACCGAGCCGGTTGTTGACCTCATGTTGGACTACCCAGCCTCTGGTCCATGGGAAATAAATTCCATTGGCTTCTTCCTCTTCCTCCCTTTTGCTTCCTGGATTATGTAGGGAGATGTTTTGCTCCACTACACACTCCTGCCATGAAAGTTATGAGCCCCTTAATCTCAGAGTTGACTCTCCAAAACCATGAGTTAAGATTGTTTCTTTGTAAATCAAATGCCTCATTTTGTTTCAGTAAGTGAAAGCTGACTAAAACAAGGACACGTAGATTAACAAATTGAAATGTAGAAATGTGGGGAATTTTGTTTAAAGGGTAAATAGGCACTCACAAATTCACTGTGCCCTGAGCTCTACAGTGTACATACAGGTTGGCTGAAGGCATCTCCTCAGAAATAAAAAAGGCATCTGAAATCTAATGTGTCTAAAGCCATGCAGCCATTTCTCTGCTTCACCCCTCCTATCTGCTCAAAAATTAGTCCCCTTCATTCCTATGAAAGGTGCCATTCTCCACCCAATCATTGTCATCTTTCCTTTTAATTTTTTCTTGCAAGGGATTCAGCAGAAATTGTAGTTTTGCTTCTCTATGTGGTTTTTGCCTGCCTAGCTAAACTAGAACACCTGGCACATAGTAGGCACTCAATCGTTGTCTGTTTGAATGAACTGTAAAAGGATATCCATGCTCAGCTGACATAAAGAGAACTTTCTATCAACTGGGGATGTAAATAGGTCCCATGCTGTGCAGTCCTAGAGCCAGCTTCTATTAGCTCCCAAGCTAGTGGTCAGTTGTCAGGGTGAGCCAGTTGTCAAACACAGCCTTTATTAAGAACTGAATTAACTTCTAGTTAAGTAAGCTATGTTAAAGATAAAGGCCATACTTAAAACTCAACATCTCATGATTTTATTTGTTCTACTATTATCTATGTTTTTGTAATTATTTGATTTTATTATACCTGATAATAGAAATACTTTCTAATTATGGCTAATTCTCATCTCTTACAAATACTACATTTAGTTGCATTGTATCGACTAAACATGATCACAGGGAATAGTTGTAAAAATCAGCAAATGCTGCAAACCAGTATGCCTCTTTCTGGAGAGGTTGGTGTAAAATACTGGCTAGCATGCTATAGATTTCATGTGAAAAGACTCCTTGAGGGATGGTATGGATTCATATACTTAGGAACAGAGGAAGGACTTTAGGCAGTTGCTATAGAACAAGCAAAAATCAAGGGAAAAACAGCATTTATGTGTATCAGGCGCATGTGTATTTGTGGAATTGGGAAAGAGGAGTACCTAAGTTAGACTTGCATGGTTTAGAAACATGAGGTTGAGAGATTTTGGGTTTATTTTATACACAATGGAACACCACTGGAAATTTTAAGCACCATGGTTAGGATAGGGTAGGATAAAAGCATATATATATATATATATATGTATGTATACTTTTCCCATGGATTTCTGGGAAAATCTAGTATATGTTCTGGCTGAGAAATAAACAGGAAATGAACTTTTGATAGACTTTTTTTTTTAAATATGGAACACTTCATGAATTTGCATGTCAATTTGCATATCATCCTTGAGCAGGGGCCATGCTAATCTTCTCTGTATCATGCCAATTTTAGTATATATACTGCCAAATTGAGTAGTACTTTTAATAGATTAAAGAGTATTCTCAGATCTTTAGTTGCTTTACAGAATTTGTAAAGAACCTGTACAATCATTCTGAATGTATGAATTGTGGCTGTTCATCAGAGAGCAGAATTGTTCTCTGTGCGGACACTTACCTCTCCAGATCCATGGCCACTGTAAAAAAAAAAA